GTTTCAAAGCCGAAGAGCCAGCGCTGTCCGAAGACGTTTCCGTGGTCATGTGGCCGGCATGACTAAACACCAAGGCGCACGGAACGCTGTTCCCTTCCCACCGAAGTGGTCCCTATTTATCTACTTGCAATTTCTTGCTTTCGAACTGCTAGGTTGGCAGGAGCTGGAACTAGAGACAGGAGCTCACCCTATCTTGCAGCTGAAATTCCAGCTGTCGATGCTTCGGATTATTCCCATGGCGGGGGAGAGGGGCGTGCCCACTTGCTGACGTCACCCAACTGAGCAGTCATTAAAGGCGCAGGAGCATGCCACATGGGTTTCTCGCAGGTCAGTTGGCAACTGGTTCCAGCTGCAAAGAGGTCGGCGGTGCTCTTGTGCCAGTCAAAAGAAGTTGGGGGAATGAGGGGATTTCATTTATTTATATATTTTGAGGAGTGGGTTAAACCCCATCTCTCGTCCAATGTCCTTGCTCAGAGGAGTTCATGGTGATAATGCTTGGAGGGGGGGGGATCCCTCCCATTTTGTTCGTTTTGTCCATACAACAACCCTGCAATGCAGACCCAAGGAAGCGGTGAATGGGTTCGCTCAAGGTCTTCTCCCAAACCGATTGGGATCTGAATGCAAAATTGCCTCTTACTCCAAAGCCATTCCACTAGATCTTCGCAGGGTGCTGGCTTCCCTTTCACGGTTAGCTGGCAGGCAGAAGCCAACAGGTGAAGCAGATGAGGGCCCGAAGAAATATTGATGAGAGTGAGCCTCACCTAATAGCTCTGCGCAGCTGAAACAGAGACTTTCGCCGGGGGAAGATGGGGGTAGAAGAGAGAAGAAGTGGCATCCAAGTTAATGGATTATTTTCGACGTGACAGTCAGAAGTCCACTAGGTGCGGTTTTCCCAGGCACTGATGCATTGAATAGGAAAGCGACACCTGTTTGATCGCTGTCTGTCGCAAAGCTACGACACGACTCAGAACCATATAGGGGGAGGGGAGGTAAGAAACGGGGAAGCCTGCGTTAAAGCACACCACGGAAACGTCTTCGGACAGCGCGGGCTCTTCGGCTTGGGAAGGGAGCTGAGCCCCGCCCCCTAGAGTCGGATTCTGTCTCCCGAGCAAGGGAAACCTTGACCTTTAAGTGAAAAGGACGGGAGGAGCAAACAGCAGACGGGGCACGCCAAGCGCAGGCGGAAATCCATCAGGTGGAGCGCCACCAGACTCCTCTGACGGCCGCCTCGGTGACCTCTGCGTAGAAACATCCTCTTGCGGGTCAAAAAGGCGGCGGCTACTGGCGCGTTAATACGGTGACAGGCAGAAATTGGTCAGGAGCGGCTTTTTGCCAGACGGACTACATTGACCGGGAAAGCGTCACCGGTCTAACTACTGCCTATTAATAGGCCGAGACGCTGGAGAGGAATTGGAGAAACGGGGGCGGAGCCGGGGGGTGGGTGGGAAAACCTGCAAGGACAGGCTGCAACGCAACCGGTGCTGCCGCTTCCCCCTCCATCTGCTCCCTATGAAGAAATAAACCAAGCTGCCCCGGTGCGACCTCCGCCTGCTGCTGCTGCAGCTGCGCCGCAACGGCGGCGGCTCGGGCAAGGGCGGGCGTCGGAGGCTGGCCGGGCTCCGGGGGCGCGGGGAGGCGCCAAGGCGGGTTGCG